GCTTGAGCCACAGGCGCTGAGCCAACTGTTGTATATTTTTACAAAGAATATTTTACTGGAACACAGTTACTTCCTGTGCTTTGTTTTTTGGGGTTTTTTAGAGATAAGGTCTCACATTGTCCAGGCTAGAGTGCAGTGTAGTATCATCATAGCTTACTGTAATCTCAAACTCTGGGGCTCATGTGATTCTCCTGCCTCAGCTTCCCAAGTAGCTAGGATTACAAATCCATGTCACCATGTCCAGCTAAATTTTTGTTCATTGGTTTGTATGTAGCAACACAATCTCAAACTCCTAGCCTTAAACAATTCTTTTGCCTTGGCCTCTTAAAGTGCACTAGTATTATAAGTGTGAAACCACTATGCTCAGCGACTCTTTGGTTTATTACTCTCTATGGCTACTTTCTTACTTCAAAGGCAGAGCTGAGTAGTTGTGACAGAAATACAGAGGGTGCCAAAAAAATGTATATACATCTTTAGAAAGTAAAAAACTGTATTCAATTTGTAATATGCAGTCACATTTGACTTCTGCAATTACTAGATGTGCTCAATGTGACTTGTATTCATCTTTTGTCATTGGTATATATTGAGTATAACAATTTTAGTCATTTTTTGTTATTTTCCTTCTCTTTTCTCAGTCTAAGCCATGAGATAGTATAACAATTTTAATACAAGTATCCCTTTCTTAAAATGTATATGCATTTTTTTGTACCCTCCATATTGACTATTTGGTACTTTTGGAAAACGTTTGCTGGTCCCTTTAGATAAATGGTATATGTGATACAGTATGCGAAATCAAATACTGAAATCCAGACAGTTGATACACACATGTTCCTATAAAATTCTTTCAACTTTGCTGTATGTTTGAATATTTTCAGGATAAACTGTCAGAAAAATATAGTTGACTCTGAAAATTCAGTTCTCATTTGTCAGCCTTAAAATGATAAAATATGGTATTCTCCATTACTAAGGAAACTCCAAATATCAGGATGACAGAAAAATCTCCCTTATAAAAAATTCTGCAGGTATAAAATTTTCAAGGGGCTGCTGGGCATGGTGGCTATGCATGTAATCCTGGATACTTGGGAGGCTGAAGCAGGATGATCACTTGAGACCAGCCTGAGCAACACAGCAAGACCCTGACTGAAACAAAAATTTACAAGAGATTTTCTTGGCTTGGCACCTGTAGCTCAAGTGGCTAAGGTGCCAGCCACATACACTAGAGCTGGTGGATTCAAATCCAGTCTGGGCCTGCCAAACGATAACTACAACCAAAAAATAGCCGGGCATTGTGGCAGGCGCTTGTTCCAGCTACTTATGAGGCCAAGGCAAGAGAATCCCGGCAGGAGTTGGAGGGTGCTGTGAACTGTGATGCCATAGCACTCTACCCAGGGTGACAGTTTGAGGCTCTGCCTCAAAAAGAAAAAAAAAAAGAGAGAGAGAGAGATAGTATTCATAGTAAATGAAGAAGTGAGTCCCTTTTTCATTTACATGGGTGGTTCTTCCAGAGGAAAGAGCTGACACAGACCAGTGTTTCCCACAATCAGCCTTTCCTTGAATTCATGGTTTTATTCAGTCTCAGACTAACAAACTCTGGGTAAAGTTAAAGCTATTCCCTGCTTGGCACCTGTAGCTCAGTGGTTAGGGCGCCGGCCATATACACTGTGGCTGGAGTGTTTGAACCCGGCCCAGGCCTGCTAAACAACAATGACAACTGCAACAAAAAATAGCAGGGCATTGTGGTAGGCACCTGTAGTCCTAACTACTTGGGAGGCTGAGGCAGGAGAATCAATTAAGCCCAAGTTTCTTCCTTTCTTTTTTTTTTTTTTGAGACAGAGCCTCAAGCTGTCCCTCTGGGTAGAGTGCTGTGG